TGATGACAGAATGACTCGAGTGAGAGATAAGAGAAAGAATAAGGATTCCAGATAGGGTTGTCCGGGCGAACGGAATCCTTTCCTTATTTGTCAATATTATGAAAACTATTTTTTGAAACAACAATTGCGAATATATCCGAACGTTGAAATAGTGTGATGTAGGAAGAAAATGCTGCCGGGATTCAAAAAGTTACATTGTAGAAATCTTTCTCTGTCACCTTTGAATGCACGATAGAAATGCACATTTTCGAAGTATCTCTTTATTTTCTCCGTATTTTCGAGATCCATGTCCGCTTTCCATCTGCTTCCCCAATTCAACCCTTCCTGGACATGCGACTCCGTGTTTGTCTTTAGTTAAGTCTTAAGTCTTTAGTTATAGAGATAAAAGTGAAGGCTACGTGGATTAGTTCGTCAGTTTGTCACTAGTTCATCAGTCATTATTATTGATACTCGTTTCTGTTCATCTTTTCAACGACAGACTGATACCTTAAAGTGTAGCAACCGCACTAGCAATGAGCACTTGGTGAAGAAACGAACCCTCGTTAGTTGAAAACCTCACTGTGCTTGCTTACGGATTTGCTGCGTTTATCGAGAGTTTAAAGTTCTTTTGCTTGAAATGCCGAGGAGTTGTGTAGCCGTTAGTTGTTCAAAAAACATTATGGTGAGAAAAAGTAACCTATCACATATTCCCAGATTGTGAGAAGAAACCTAAAAATGGGAACGATGGTTTGGCTGCGAAACATGTAAATGCTGATGGGCAGCTGATGGAAAATGTGTTTACCTTAGAAATAGTAAAGGTGTGATATGTTATTACAGTGGCCAAGCACTTCCATCAGCGTTTACTCAGTGAACCCATTGCTTCCATTTTTCAGGTTTCTTATGATCTGGGAAAGGTTAGACCTTTTCTTTCCCATTATGTTGTGATTTAAATGACCAAAGCCTACACAACTCCTCAGCATTTAAGTTCTTAACACAGCAAATCCATTCCTCACAGTAATTTTTTGAGTAACGAGGGTTTGCTTTACCAAGTGCTTGTTGCTAGGTTGGTACACGTTACCGTATCAGTCAATGTAATCAGTAATTGAATTGATAATTCTGTGTCAGGCCATTTCGAAGGATCGTTGATCCAAATTTGGCAGGTAAATGGAATTGACACCTAGCTGCACAGCTTCTAGTTTCATATCTGTGCTTTTTTTCTCCAGTTTTTAACATATCTGTGTATTCATACAACATTTTCTCTTGATAATAACATCTCATCTACCCAATATAGGTTTCTGTGTGAGACGGGTTAGTTTTCACCAAGTGGATTTCATCTTGTGTAGCTCCGCTTCATGACGTCCTGCAGAATCCTTCTATTCAGATTGTGTGACTGGGTGTGCCTGAGGGAAGGTAGGTGGGTT